CTACGTCATTTTTGGACCGTGGTCCACACAACTCCACAGTCCATGCAATAACTATTGCTTATTACAAAAGAGTTCAATAGAATCTTAAAGGAATAAACTTCCTCCCTGGCCCTAATATTTATATATCTCAATATGAGATAGTGACACATTATATTCTAGGCAAAAAAATAAAAAATAAAAAAATTAAAATATCTTTATAAGTTGAATTTTGCTCTAATATCAAATTAAAAACATTATTTTACTCAACTAAAAGAATAAATTGATAATTGAAATATTGAATTATACATAAACTCTTATTAATTGCATCGCACAAGTACTATTAGATCAAGGGTTATTAACTTTAGATAAAACAATTTTTTTTTTTTAAAAAAAATAATAAGTAAAATAATGGAATCATGTTGGATCCAAAACCATCTAGCTTTAATCAACAGTGTTAGCATGTGAAAATACGAAAAGTTATCACAAAAACAGTGAGGCAGCATGTAGAAGCAGCATAGAGGCTATGCATGAGGAAGCCATTAGTCGAAAAAGTCAAAGAATTTTGAGGCAAATGAAAAGGCTATGCCTACATTACAAGAGACATTATCTAGCTGTAATCTTAATTGTTTTTATGATGTCTGTATTAATAACAAGGCTAGCAAAGTTAACAACTAATATAACGCACTTTTTGCTCATTTTTCTTGCATCCTTAGGCAACTCCAGCTTTTTAAACCTATCCTTTACATTTGCACCAATGCTTTTTGGATTCATGGCCACGTAAGCAAATAGATAATTCAAAGGCCATGTTCGATAGGAAAATGCTACGTGTACTTCCAACTTGTATTTTCACACATTAAACCTTGATGTAGATACTTGTATTGGGACTCACAAGAAAAAAATAACTTGAATTCGCCACATCAGGGAGTAAAATTTAGGAAGTAAGATTAGGGAGTACATGTAGTAGAACTATGTTCGATAACATAGTTAGCTTAACAGTTAATTTTGACTTATTTGATTAATATTAGTTGTTTAATTTGGTTAAATATTCAATATAAGTGTTTAATTAATTCATTTTTTTTTTGTAATATATAGCTTATTGTTCCAAAATGCTACAAGTCAAAAAGCTACTCAAAGCAACATTTTTTATCAACTTTTTGAGAAAGTTATTTTGCATGTATTCAGCTATCAGCTAACAGCTAATTTACCAAATATCTTTCTACAATCATCTAATACTATTAACTAATAAACCCACTAACCCAATCAGACGATCAGTTAACAATTATTTACGAAACAACCCCAAAATCATCTGCAAATATAGTTAGGATAACAAATTTCGAGGTGTGTTTGAGAGAGCGATTTATTATTCTAAACTATTTTTAACAAGTTATTTATATATTTTTTAATAAAACATTTTTATTTATTAGTGAAATTTATCAAGTAAACATTTTTGAGTAATAAATGCAAGTTTCACTAACTACTATTTAAAAAAAAAAAAAAAAACAAAAAACAAAAAACAAAAATTTACAAGAACTGTATAAGAATAGGGTGAAAATAGTCTTATAATTAGAATGATTCAATAGTATTAGGACACTATTAGTAGTATTAGACTATAAGTCTATTTACTGTCTTTATATACTTTGTATCCTCTGTCTTTGGTATTCAATATACAGAAAATATATTATCATCTGGTATCAGCTAGGTTTTTCCATGGAAAACGTCGGTATTGATGACAGCTCTGTTCTTGGTTCCTCTGAACGGACTATTACCGAGATTCCTCCGATGCCTACGCATGGTAGCCTTTCGTCGGCTCACCACTTCGTCTCCTTAAAGTTAACCTCACAGAATTATCTTTTTTGGCGGACTCAGATGCTCCCGTTTCTTAAAGGCCAAGGTCTTCTAGGGTTTATTGATGGTTCTACCCCCTTTCCGACGGAATCCCCGGCGCTGACATCGACCGTAGACAGCGCCTCGGCGGTGGTTTCCGATCTCGCCACGCGGCAACTCGCATGGCATCGGCAAGACAAGGTCATCCTCTCCATGCTCATCTCCTCCTTTTCCGAGGAGACTCTACGCTTCGCCGTCGGCAAGGGCACCTCACAGCAACTTTGGCAGGTGATCGAACAAACCCTAGGTTCGTCTACCCGCTCTCGCGCTCTCCAGCTGCTCGACGAACTCCAAGGGCTTCGCCAATGTGACTCCTCTATATCTGATTACCTTGGTCGTGCCCAGATGTTGATTGACGAAATGGCTCTCGTCGGTCGTCAGGTTGAGTTGGACGATCAGAATCTGTACGTGTTTCGCGGTTTACGCCCGGAATTCCGACCATTGGTGGCAACCCTAGCTCGTGGTGCTCCTGTTCCCCTCCTGGAGGTTGCGGATTTTCTTGTTTCACAGGAGTGGATTTGTTCGGATGATGGTGTGGCTCTCGGCGCGCCGGCAGCTTTGGCCGTGAGTCGTGGAGGCCACGGCGGCCGCGGTGGCGGTTCACAGTCCCGAGGTGGTGGCGGCCGTGGCGGTCGGGGCTGAGGCCGTTCTGGTTTTAGACCTCGCTGTCAAATTTGTAACAAGCAGGGTCATATAGTTGTCTCATGTTGGCAACGTTTTTCGCCAACCCGGATCCCCATGCGAATGTAGTCGTTTTTGGTGCTGATGACTCTATGGATGGCTCTCATCAGTGGTTCCCCGACACTGGTGCCACGAATCATGTCACTCCTGATTCCTCCTTATTGACGTCCTCTACTGCGTATGATGGTCCGAAGATACTCCGAGTCGGAAATGGTACAGGTTTGCCTATTGTTACTGTTGGTTCTATTTAGTTAGCTACTGATTCTAGGTCGTTTCGTATGTCTGATGTCTTACATGTTCCTGGCTTTATCTTCTTCGTTATTATCTATTCAGCGTTTTGCTAAAGAAAATAATGTCTTTTTTGAGTTTCACCCTTCGTGTTTCTTTGTGAAGGACATTCAAAACAGGAACACTCTGTTTAAGGGGCATGCATCTGGGGGTCTTTATGCTTGGCCTGCCTCGCGTCCAGCTCCAGTTGCTTTTGTTGCTGCACGAACTTCTTTCATTTGGCATATGCAGCTTGGGCATCCTCACCCTTGGGTCTTACGTCAAATTTTAGGCTCTACTTCTCTTAGTAATTTTAGCTCTAGTGATCTTCCCAATATTTGTTCTTCTTGTTAATTGGGAAAGTCATCTCGTTTTCCTTTATCTCATGTTGAGACTACTAGTTCGCATCCTTTATAATTAATATATTCTGATATTTGGGGCCCTGCGCCGTTAATTTCGGCAAATGGCTTTAAGTATTTTGTATTATTTGTGAATGATTACACTCGATATATGTGGTATTATCCTATGCGGGCTAAGTCTGATCTGTATGCAATTTTTGATAAGTTTCGGTCACTAGTTGAACGTTCCTTCTCCTGTAAAATTCTATCTTTTCAGTCTGATTTAGGGGGAGAATACAAAAAGCTTGGCTCAACTCTCGCGTCCTTAGGTATTCGTCATAGGCAATCCTGTGCGTATACTCATGAACAAAACGGCAGAGTAGAGCGCAAGCATCGGCATGTTGTCGAAACGGGACTAGCATTAATGGCTCAATCTTCTGTTCCGCCTCGTTTATGGGATTATACCTTTGAAACCGCTGTGTATTTAATCAATAAAATTCACACTCGTGTCTTATCTGATAAATCCCCTCATTATCTCTTGCATCGCTCTCCTCCATCTTATTCAAACCTGCGTGTTTTGGGGTGTTTATGCATTCCTAACTTGCGTCCATATAATCGCAACAAACTATAGTTTCAGTCGTCTCCTTGTGTCTTTCTAGGATATCATCCATCTTTTCGTGGTTATCATTGTTTAGACACTAACACTAACAAGGTTTTTATCTGTCGCCATGTGCGATTCGATGAGACTGTCTTTCCTTTTGTTGTTCATGTAGTTTCGTAGGTACCTGCACCACGCCCGGAGCCGTGGGGTGTTGCACCGATTGTTTTTGTTGGTGGACCGAGTGCACGGTCTGTGACCCTCCTGCCGCGCCTGTAGCCGATTCCGAGCCACACCGCCAACAACCTGTTCCTGTCGAGCCCGTGACCGAGTCCGAACGGACAGTCACGGACCAGCCACCTGCTCGGCCGAGATGACGGTCTCGTCCTGCGGTCTCACCTGTTCGCTCTCATATGATGAATACGCGAAGCTCGGGACCACATGATCATGTTGCTTTGTCTGCTGATGTCACCGCTGAGCCTACATGTTTTACTCAAGCGGTCAAATTTCGTGAATGACGGGATGCAATGGATTTGGAATTTAATGCCCTGGTGCATAATAATACATGGCAGCTTGTTCCTTTTAAATTAGGTATGAATGTGGTTGGATGCAAGTGGGTGTTTCGAACCAAGAGGAAAGCCGATGGTTCGGTTTAACGTTACAAGGCTCGGTTTGTTGCCAAGGGGTTTACTCAGGTTTCCGGTGAGGACTTCTTTGAGACTTTTATTCCCGTGGTTAAACTGACTACGGTACGTCTTCTCTTGTCCTTAGCTATTTCCCGTGGGTGGACTATTCGGCAGTTAGACATTCACAATGCTTTCTTGAATGGCAATCTTGCTGAGACGGTCTATATGCGCCAGCCACCTAGCTATGAAGACAAAACGCTCCCTGGGCATGTGTGTCTGCTTTAGCGTTCTTTGTATTGGCTCAAGCAGGCCCCTCGTGCTTGGTTCACGCGTTTACATGATTTTCCTGTTTCTGTTGGTTTCTCACCATCCAAGACTGATGTGTCTTTATTTATTAATTCGTGCGACAATACTCATCTATATTTTATGGTTTATGTGGATGGTATTTTGGTTATGGGTTCTGATTCGGCTCATGTGATTGCTCTTATTGACAAGTTGGCTCTTGAATTTAAAATTCGTGATATGGGTGTGCCCTCATTTTTTCTAGGTATTGAGACTGTTCCGGTGACTGGTGGCATGATTCTGTCTCAACAACGGTACATGAAGGATATTTTAAAACGAGCAGGTATGGTTGATTGCAAACCCGTGGCCACTCCGGTTTCAACCTCGAAGGCCGTGCCAGGTGGTGTGGTTCCTTATGCTGATCTCACTCAGTATCGCAGCTTTGCAAGTGCTCTGCAATATCTTACGGTAACCCGTCCTGACCTTTCCTATGCTGTCAATCGTCTGTGTCAACACATGCATTCTCCTTCTACTGTGAATTGGGCGGCTCTGAAAAGGGTGTTACGGTATTTGAATGGGACACTCCATCTTGGTCTTAAAATCACTGCTTCTCCCTCTCTGGATATTCATGCGTATTCTGATTCAGATTGGGCTGGCAATCCTGATGATCAGAAATCAACTAGTGGTTTTGCTGTATTCTTGGGGACCAATCTTGTCTCATGGGTGTGTTGAAAACAACGTACTGTGGCTCGTTCGTCAACTGAGGCTGAATACAAAGGGCTAGCTGATGTCTCTGCAGAAGTAACCTGGCTCGTCTCTCTGATGAAGGAGCTCGGGATTGCGCTACCCATTGCGCCTAAACTCTGGTGTGATAACCTGAGGGCTACTTATCTATATGTTAATCCAGTCTTTCATGCTCGCACCAAGCACATAAAGATCGACTACCACTTTGTTCATGATAAAGTTGCAAAGAAGGAATTACAAGTTAATTTTATTTCTACCAAAGATCAGATAGCGGATATTTTTACTAAGCCTTTTTCGTCTTTACATTGTAATTTGCTCCACTACAAGCTCAAGGTTTTGGCTGACCAACCTTGTGTTTGAGGGGGAGTATTAGGACACTATTAGTAGTATTAGACTAGAACTCTATTTACTGTCTTTATATACTTTGTACCCTCTGTCTTTGGTATTCAATATACAGAAAATATATTCTCATCAATAGTTGCCAATGACTTTGTGATCTAGTGACACGAAGTGACCCTCTCAAATGGAAAATTACAAGAACTGAATAAGAATATGGTGAAAATAGTGTAATAATCAGAATGATTCAATAGTTGTCAATGACCTTGTGGTCTAGTGGCACGAAGTGACTCTCTCAAATGGAAAGTCTTCAGTAGGTTGAGAAAATAATTATGAATAGATACTACATTGTAACAGACTCAATAGTATTTTAAAAAAAAAATCCAATAATTGGAATCTTACTATTTTAATCTCACAATTCTTGTGATGCATCGATTCTCACTCCATTCACAAATCATTCTTCCAAAAGGTTGAACCCCAACCCGACAGAGCATTTGGGGGGATGTAAATCATGGTAACTCAACTGAACATGAACCATATAGGTTAGACTTTTGCTTACTGCGCACAAGGAGCCCCCCTCACTTTGAGAGGTAGCTCCCACACTACCGCTGGTGAGACTCGATCCCTGGTCATTCTTCCAACTTTTCACCTTCATTCACAAATCATCAGTATGTATTTAACTGCTATTAAATGCCACAGAGTAATAAACTTTTAAATTATTTGAAATATTCAATATTCAAATATTATTAAATAAGAGTAAATGCCTGCTAAGGTCCCCCGAATTTGGTAATTTCGTCACTTTTAGTTTTAAACTTTCAAATCGATCGCTCGTGGTCCTTCGAGTTTTGAATTTGACATGCCGTAGTCCTTTCGTTAACATATGTCGTCTGCATCGTGAAAAGTAAGGGGAAAATAGTCTTTTTATTTCAACCCAACCAAAACAATTCATTTCCTTTAAAAATTAAAATTAGCCCTAATCTCCTCCCATCAAACTCCTTCTCCAATAATTCCCAATTATGCAAACATCGTTCTTTGACAAGCCAAAATCGCAATTTCAATTCGAAGATTTCACAATTGTGGGTTCGTTCCTAGCAAAGAAAGCTCTACAGTTCTATAATTTTTGAGGGAAATGATTTGTTTTGGCTGGGTTGAAATAAAAAGGTTGTTTACCCTTACTTTTCATGGCGCAGACGACAACAGTTAACGAAAGGACTATGATAGATCGAATTCAAAACTTGAAGGACCACGGGTGACCGATTTGAAGTTTAGGATTAAAAGTGGCGAAACCACTAAATTTGAAAAACCTTGGTTGGCATTTACTATGTTAAATAAATACTTATTTCCTCTTAAAGGGGTTTTCTCACTTTATTTTTAATACCTCAAAAGATGTTGTATACTTTCTCAATATAAAGGTTAGAACATAATTCTAATATTTCCACATTACTTTTCTATATCAATCAAAAAGTTATTTATTTTTTGTATATATAGAAGAGGAAAAATGTTTATCTTTATCACATCATTCTTAAAATTTGTGTTACAAATAAGTAGTATGACACAAAAATTTGTATGAAATTATCTTGCATTAGAAAAATCACAAGTATATAATACTAGAGTTGATTTAATAAGTATCACATGTGCGCTCCTTAATAAAACTAGTATTATTGGCTCCTTAATAAGTATTAATGAAAATGTAATATTCACTACTTCTAAAAAAGTAACATTTTCACTAAAATGTATTATCCATCTTATATGAGATAATCTCATGCAAGATCAATCTATATAACAAATATTCCAAAACTAAAATGTAACAGGAAAAATTGTCAAATATGACTCTATATGACTCTAAACTTTATACGAGAAATTAATTAGAACCTTGAACTTTTTAAAATTATAATTAAGCCCATCAATATGTTGTTTTCTAGCATTGTAGCCCAAAACTCAATAAATGACCTTTAATTAGCTGTCCCTAGAATTTCCGATGAGACTCCGACCACTGTTGACGCTTTGACGTCAATCGCTGATTGCCTTCTCCGCTAGAAAGGGACCAAATGGTCACCTTCACTGGAAAAAAGGCAATCAGCATCGTCTTCTCCGCTGGAGAAAACGACGATTTGGTCGCCTTCTAGTGGAAGGAGACAACTGCCGACCATCGTCGTCGGTGATTGGAGTCTCGTCAAAATCTTAGTGACCACGATTGGGGGTGTTGAATTTTGTTTTGCTAAGTGATCTGCGAATTGTGCTGCCCATTTTGTTGCTAGGGAAGCCATTTCTGAGTCAGATTGCGAGGAATAGTTTGACATTCCTCCATCTTTTCTTGTAAATTGAATTTCTCGTGATTTAATGAATTAATTCTTTCTTCTCAAAAAATATAGAATAAAATGTTTGTTACTAATAAGAGAAATTGTAATATTTATAAAAAAAAATGTAACACTTTTATAATTTAAAATAATATTACATTTTTTGAATAAGTATTACATTTTTATATTAACCTGTATCTGTGATACGATCTCACAAGAGAATCACTAAAAAATCATCTATCCTATTAAAACTTTGACCATACACTACGCTTATAAGAAAAGAAAATAATAATAAAACGGCGAACCGCTGCACTGCTTCAATCTCTCGTAAGCAAACAAGTGTTTAGTGAAGTAATAAAGAAATGGGAAGGCAATGGAATGGAATCAAGAGAAGATATAGCAGGGGCAAAACGGTCCAATGAAAAAAAAGCCCTGTCCTGCATTAACGGCATAAAAAAGCTTCTTCAAAATAAAAGAAGCCAGTCTGTCACACAACACAGTCCCCTACTACTCCATTCCCCTCTCTCTCTCTCTCTTTACTGACATTTTCTCTCTCCTATTACATCTTTACCTGCAAAGTTTCAGAGACTAGAGCGACAACCTCATCAGTGCACTCAGAGCGTGTACACATACATATATGTTTCACCTGTATCTACACCCGCAGAGAGAGAAAGAAAAAAGAAAGATCTTTGAGATTTGCGAGCGAAGGAGAGATCATTACATCTTACAAAGAATCATCTCATGATTCTCATCAGCTCTGAAGGTTACTATTTCAAAGGCGGCTAGGCTACTCAACAATTTAATAACCCCATTCAATTATGCGTAGTGGGTTGGTCGTATCATAGCCCAATTCCGTCATCTTCGTCATCAATGTGATTCGGAAAAGCAACCAAGAAGAAAAAAGTTCTTTTTTTTTTTTTTTTTTTGTAATGTGGTGGTGGCTCGTGGGTCGAGGTTGTTGGGAAGAACAAGATTATGCCATTGTCTTTATTCTTGCTTCTTCTTCTTCTTGGGTTAGTGACTTGTTTGTTTCTGCTTGTATTGGAGTCCTGAATATGCCTCTTCGCTGCTCATGCTCTTCTTCCTAGGAGGAGAGAGAGATATATATACAATAGTTAGTTTTGGGTGCTGCTGAAAGTGAAGCGGTAAATCTTGGGCCATAATTTAGTGAGAGTTTGGTCGGTAAATTTGGAAGAAAATGAAGTTTATGAAGCTGGGGTCAAAGCCTGATGCATTCCAATCTGATGGCAACTTCATTAGGTAAAAACAAGTTTATTTTTTCTTTCATTTTCTTTTCCAGCCCAGAAATGAGCTTTAAATTAATTTTCTCTCCTTTTTGTTTACTTTGTTTGGGTATATTGAAAGTTAGTGCTTTGATTGTGTAGCTAAAATAGTTTCTTGATTTTTTCTCCCCTTAAATTACTTGTAATTTTGAAGCAAATTTATGCAGTAGTATGAGCTGTGTATTTCCTTTTTAGCTTTCCTCATGTGCACACCATTTCTAACAATTGTTTGGCTGAATGTGATCTGTCTTTCCTGAAAATGAAAATAATGCAAGTTAGGGTATTTGACTCAGGCTATATTTTTAAAAAGAAAACAAAAGATAACTTTTTTCAAAAGAACTATTATTATTATTATTATATTTTTGGGAAAGGAAAATAGTACTCCATAGCAGTTTTGAGAAGAGGGTTCCAGTTTATTATGGGTTTTTTTTTTAAAACATTCTTCACACTTTCTTTACTTGTTTTCTATGTCAAGTGGCCTTTTTTCTTTATATTGATCTCTTAGGTAAGAGTGAGTGAGGCCCCTAAACTCAGCACTTTGGTGTTGTCTAATAGAGCATATTTTAAGTGTATTTCGTTGGCTACTAGTGAGCACTATAATACCAAAGCTCTTGAAGCTTTTGTATGGTAGAAAGACCAATTAGTTGGTAATCCAAGGAAAGTAAGGGTTCGTTTGGTTCACGGAATGTCAGATTACTGTAGGTAATGTTTTAGATTCCTAAGAATATTAGATTTCTGTGTTTCGTTAAAATTGAGATATGTAATATAAATTTGTTTGGATGGGGGGGGGGGGGGGGGGGTTATCTTCTATGTTATGGTAGTTTCAATTCATCTTTAGTAAAAGGCGAAAGAATAGTTCGCTTTGTGCTCGCGTTGCTGCATAGTTTCAATTCATCTGTTTCTTTGGAAAGAGCCAATATCTTGGAGATAGATCTTAATTTGCATAGTTATGGAGGGTTATAATTGGCAGGTGAAGTTAAGCTATTTTGTATGTGTCTTTGGAATTGTGTATCAAAAGATGGTAAACTAGGCTAAAAGATAATTTGTATGGAGATTAATTTTAAACTAAATTTTGATTTTAGTCCCCTAGCCATAATGGTATTCCACTTTTAGTACTCTACTGTAAATTTGGTCCCCAATTATTGGTAATAAGAGAGAATTATTCCATCATTATGGTATTGTTTATGGATGGACCACTTTTGCCAATCTTTCAACGGGTGGGGGACCGTTACTTCTAATTTTCATTTCAATGTTGTCCCCCAGCTATTAGAAATTGACCAAGAAAATGGTCCTCCATTAGAAAGTTCATTTTCACATTTTTAAACCTAAGTAATATAACATAATTCTGTTCGACCGCCAGATTAATACTCTTAATACCCCACCGATTTCTTTTTCTGCATTACTTATTCTTAATACTCTGTTTGTAACTTACAGAGTTAAACAACTTCTTCATTCAGGTACGTGTCATCTGAATTAGCAACAGACGTTACCATTGTTGTCGGAGAAGTGAAATTTTATCTTCACAAGGTAATTTTCTGTCAATCATTTCTCGGTTTTCCTCCATATTTTTTTGGGGGTGATAAGTATAACTATTGATTCTTTTTTGGGTCACCTCATTCTGAAGTGGTATGTTGTATCGTTTATATCGTTCGTACAGTATAGTTGTCACGCTTTACTTTTGCAGTTCCCTCTCTTGTCCAAGTCCAATCGATTGCAAAAGCTTCTGTCGAGAGAGAGCGAGCAGAGTTCTGACGAAATTCAGCTGGTTGATTTTCCCGGTGGACCGAAGACATTTGAGATATGTGCCAAATTCTGCTATGGAATTACGGTGACTCTTAATCCCTACAACGTTGTTGCGGCTCGTTGTGCTGCGGAGTATCTTGAGATGACTGAAGATGTTGACCGAAGTAACCTGATTTTCAAAATCGAGGTATTCCTAACCTCGAGTGTCTTCCGGAGCTGGAAAGATTCAATTATAGTTCTTCAAACCACAAAGTCTCTCCTACCGTGGTCCGAGGATTTGAGGGTTGTAGGGCGATGCATAGATTCTATTGCATCGAAGACCTCGGTGGAGCCCTCAAATATTTCCTGGTCATACACTTACAACCGGAAGCTTGCAGTATCAGACAACGTACCCGAAATCCGGACAAAATTCCCGGACAAAATGGATTCCGTGCCAAAGGATTGGTGGGTTGAAGATATATGTGAACTGGAAATAGATCTTTATAAACGTGTCATGATTGCCGTGAAATCAAAGGGAAGGATGAATGGGAGCGTAATCGGTGAAGCGCTTAGAACTTATGCAGTCCGATGGTTGCCAGATTCTGTTGGGGCCTCGGTATCCGAAGCTCATAGCAAGAGGAACAAGACTTTAGTAGAAACGTTAATTTGCTTATTGCCTTCGGATAAGGGCGTTAGTTGTTCTTGTAACTTTCTTCTCAAATTACTACGAGTTGCTATTCTTGTCGAAGCCGAGGATTCGTTAAGGGAAGATCTCCTGAAAAGTATAAGCTTGAAATTGGACGAGGCATCTGTCAATGAACTGCTGATCCCGGCTAGGTCTCCCCAAACCACTATTTACGATGTCGAACTGGTGAAGAGTCTCGTGAATAGATACGTGACACGTGAAAGGGGTAGCCTGGATTCTAATGCCTCCGAAAAGAGTAGGAAGGGCTCGGGTGATTTTGTACTAGGGCGGGGATCGTGGATGAATTTGAGCAAACTCATTGACGGGTATCTAGTAGAGGTAGCTCATGATCCAGGCCTTAGTCTCGCCACTTTCATCGAACTCTTGCAATCCATTCCAGAATCTGCAAGACCAATTCACGATGGCCTTTATGGTGCCATTGATATTTATCTCAAGGTTTTTGTAGCATTGTTTAGCTGCTTCTCTTTTACATATGACAAGATACTTTCTATTTTAGTTCGAACATAATAATCGGTTTCCTTTTTTTCTGCAGGAGCATCCGAGCTTGACAAAAACCGAGAGAAAGAAGCTATGCGGTTTCATGGATGTGCGGAAGCTGACAATGGATGCGTCGATGCATGCAGCACAAAACGAGCGGTTGCCACTAAGAACAGTAGTTCGGGTCTTATATTTTGAGCAAATCAGGACTGCTGCTGGAGTTCAAGGCCTTAACAACAGCAGCTCCGACGATGCATTAGATTCCGGGAGGGTTACTCAAGAAGACTGGGAGAAACCGTTACCAGTAACCCACCAATCGGCGAGGAAACAAATGAACCAGATGAGCATAGCAGATAAAGATCCGAAGAAGAACGTAAAGTTGGAGAAGAAAGCTAGCAAGAATAGAGGTAGCGGGGCGCAGCTGCTACCATCACGATCCAGGAGAATTTTCGACAAGCTATGGGCTGTGGGTAAAGGGACTACTGGAAACGGGGAGAACAGAAGCTCAGAGACCTCGGGTAGTTCACAGAGTCCAACTTCTATGGTTCAAGGAGAAACCAAGTCTTCGGGTTCATCTTCGAGACGCAGGAGGCATTCCATTTCATAGACAGTCATAATCCTCAAAAACTTTTTTAGTGTAAAAAGCACTAGGGATGTAATCCAAGTAAATGTGGTTCTAGTATTTTGGTTTAGACATCTTCTAGATGGGCTATAATCTTTAATTCTTTACAGTGATCAGAAGGGCTTTGCTGCAGAAGAATGTGATCTGGCAATGGTTGCCTATCCTAGCTCTATTATTGTATCTTTATCCCAATGCCTAGTAATGGTAAAATCTACAGATCTTTTGAATTTTCTGAAGTCTGATTATCATTAGCAAATTCTGTTCTTTAGCCTCAAGTCTGACAAAGAAACTCAGACATCCTCTTCAATCTCTTCTAGAGATTTGATTCTCAAAAATGAAATTGCTCTCTCATTCTTCTCTTCATCGTTTACACAAACACAAGAGCACCCTGTTCCCGAAAGCTCAAGGATGAACAAACTTGTGCACTTGATAATTGATGATTGCCATTCTTACTATTTGACCGTTCCCGAGTGGTTCAAACGAAAAACAAATTTGTTTATAGGCATTTTAGACATAATTCTTGGAAAAATTTTATACACAAGATGAATGGAAATCGGTGGAAGCTAAGCAGCAAGGGATTGGGGGAATGAAAGTAAATAATTCAAGTAAATAACCAATAATTAAAAGGAAGGTTTGAAATCAGGTTACAAGATTACCAACACCAATTCAGTGGACTAACACTCCATTTTCATGATCCAATGTTAGGCAAAATTGAAAGACAGGGATTGTCCCACTTTCGTGATACCAATACCTCAACAAAAGTTCAAGCAATCTAGACTCCTAAAGTTCCCCACTTTTGTGATGGAATCTAAGGATAATGAAATGAATCTAAGGTCGAATTGAAAGACGGGCTGGGCGCGTTAGGTGCGACCGGCTGCGTCCCGGTCGTGTGGCGTGGTGGACGACGGCATGGAGGCAAGCAGGGAGGGAGGGAGATGTGAGACACGTGGTTGACTGAGGTTGTTAGTCATAGATGGCGTACACGTAGACGGTATTAGGTGAAGTCGTCGAAGACGGTATAAAAAAGGGCGGCGGGGGGGGGGGGGGGGGGGGGGATGGTTTGGTTCGGACACACCTAGAGAATGCATAGACCCTTCTGGTTGAGTGGTTTGAGTCTTCTCTCTATTGCTAGCATACTAGGGATTGATCTTTAGAGGTAATATTATTATTTTGATTTCATTATTAGAGACGTAGCTTGTATCGTTTATTATTTGGGCCGCCGTTTTAGGTTGGTGTGTTGGGCTTTGTACGTATTCTTTTGGGCCTCGTGCCCCATGCAATAACATTATTACTTTCCTACCCCTGTTCCGTACTTAAAATAGTCGGTTTATGGTGGACCCAATTCTAACTTCCAACAAAACCATCAAATAATAATAATGTTTTAAGGGGTTATATTATGTGCCAATTATTTGTCCTATGTGCTATATGCTATGTGCAAAAATGTTTTACGGGTGAAGTGAATCTTACAAGCGTTATGTCGAATTTGTGTGTATCTTTGTGTTCTTTTCTTTAACTCTTTTTGCAGGTGATGTTGCACGAGCATTGGACATGAGAGCGAACACATAGTATTTCATTATATATTAGTTACTTTGTTAGTTGGATTATTAGTTCGTTTAGTGTTGATTATTAGTTGGTTTAGTATTAGTACTTACCTTGTGATATTCGTTTCAATAAATATTTTTGAGCCTTAAATTTTGAATTATTTTGAGTTTTAGTTTAGCCTTGCGTTGGGATATAGGTAGTTATTCAAGTGTGGCGGTAGCACTCCTTTTCCCTTTGGTTTTGCTTTCACTTCCGCAACTGTATTGGATTTTCAAATGAAAAAAAATTGCCCTTTAATTCATAGTTTTTGGTTTTGGGAAATGGGGTGTTACAACTGAATATACCAAAAAAGATGCACTTTATAGATTTTAGGTCTAACTTTGTGATATGAGACTGAGCATCTCTCACAAAACAAGTACATTCGTTTTCGGTGGAATAGGAAACACATACTTTTGTAGGAAGAGACACTGATAGGGTGTTGTACCATGTAATACCGGCATTGCTAAGAGATAAACAAATGAACTGGCGAAAGCGACAAGGGCAACGATCTCAGAGCTTGACACCAACATGGAGAGGCTTGGAGTGACGGATCTCATCGTGCCAGCTAACTAGCAGGAAATAGACGACAACAAAGAAGACGACGTTAGTGAGGTACAAAAGAAATGGTAGAGAGTTGGATAGCTGCTGGAGAAAGCAAATTTTTTTTTTTTTTTTTAAATTTGGACCTAGTGCACGAAGTTGCGGGGAGTATAATCCCCGGCTCCGTTCCCGCTACTCCGTCCCCATCTCCACGTACAAGGAATATAGAAGGGACAGGGAATATCCTTTCCCGGTCAACCCCACAGTCAAAGTGTCAAACTAGTACAATTTTAAAAATAAAAAAGAAAAAAGTGAAATCCAAAAGTCCTAATAGGCTAATTTAAAAAACAGTAGTTCTTCAACTATTTTTAATAACATACGAACTACCAAAGTTCAAATTCCAATCCAAAATAGCAAATGCAAACTACAGATAGTCCAAATGTCCAATGTTAAAAGGTCCAAAAGTCCAAATCTCCAATCAACATGATTACATAAAAATACAATAACGATACATTAAAAGGCTTCAATTATTAATTCAATTTTCAATCTTCACAATCATCTTCTTCAATCTGAAAGAAAACAAAATAATTACCCGCATGAGCAGCTCAACTGGTCACAGAGGTGAAACTTTGGAAGAATGACCAGGGATTGAGTCTCACCAGCGACAGTGTGGGAGCAACCTCTCAAAGTGAGGGGGCCTTTGTGCGCACTGAGCACAGGTCTAGCCTCTGTGGTTCATGTTCAGTTGAGTTACCATTATTTACATCCTCCCAAATGCTCACCAGCGGCAGTGTGGGAGCAACCTCTCAAAGTGAGGGGGGTCTTTGTGCGCACTGAGCACAGGTCTAGCCTCTGTGGTTCATGTTCAGTTGAGTTACCATTATTTACATCCTCCCAAATGCTCTGTCTATATATATATATATACCTCCATGTCTTTTAGTTCATTTGGACTATTCCCACAATCATCATGAATAGTACCATATGCATCTTTCTAAGTGGTCACTACAATAAACAATATGTCTTTTAGTTCATTTGGACTATTCCCACAATCATCATGAATAGTACCATATGCATCTTTCTAAGTGGTCACTACAATAAACAATAAATATATAATATACAATATCATAAAAAACAATATATAACTATCTGTGTTTGGAAGCGTAGAAATTCAGGTTTCTAGTGTTTGGCAAGGAGAGAAATGAAAGATCAATGGAAAACAATGCCTTTATCAATGGAAAATAGCTAAGATTTTCAAGAAAATGACTTCCCTTTTTTTGGGGAAGTCATTCTCACCTTCTTCTACACTCACCTTCTTCTTGCTACACCGGGTGCTTCTTCATCTTCTTTCCATCTTCTTACCACCAAGGTATGTTTCTTTTTTTTTTCTTTTTTTTTTTTTCAGTTATAATTTTTTTTTTCAGTGGCATATCTGGAAAGATCTCGCCATCTAAAATGGTTTCCGAGTGTGGAGACAAAATCCCACAGCCGAAAACTTCTGAAAACTAGTCGGACATAGTGGAGGCCGACTTTTTCCCGACGTGAAACCAGTCTGGTCAACTGGTTTCTTCATTGGAAACCAGTCTCGCTGACTGGTTTCCGAGCGGAAGCCAACTGGTTTCGCTTCAGAAAATAGTCGGCCAGACTGGTTTCGCTTCAGAAACTAGTCGGCCAGACTGGTTTCCATACTGGTTTCCGAAGCGGGAATCATTAGAGACACTAAAGGGGTCGTTTACTTCATTTCTCTGTTTTTCTATTTCCAGTTTTCCATTCTTTCATTTCTCCAATTTTCCTTCTCCATTCTTCCAGTTTTCCATTTTTCCATTCCTCCAATTTTTTATTTTTCTAATTTTTTATTTTATTAAAAATAATCATCCCATATAGTATTTGTACATTTCTACAACAAAGATAATAATAATAATAATAATAATAATAATAATAATAATAATAATAGTAATAATGATAATAATAATAATTTAATAATAATAATAATAATAATAATAGTAATAATTTAATAATAATAACAACAAATTTGTGTATATAAGGAGGAAAATGGAAGGTTTTCAAAAAAAAAGGAGGAAAATGGAAAAAGAAAGAGAAAAAGAAAAAGATAATAATAATAATAATAATAATAATAATAATAATAATAATAATAAAATAAAAAAGGGGCACGCACAGGAAGCAGCAAAAGCGGAAGTGAAAAGGTAGCTTTGAGTTTAATACATCAAACATATATGTTGTGTGCAGGATTCGATACCGAGACCTCAACTTAAGTACTGTCCACGCGTCTCTATCTCTCCATTTGGAGAATGCATTTTTTTCTTTCTCCAAAATTGTATAGGAAGTAGAAGTATGAACAGATACTACAATGTAATAGAGCTAGTAGCATTCAAAAAAAAAAAAAGTATAGGAAGTAGAAGAATGGAGATGAGATAAAAATTGGAAACATAAATCTCTTGTTTTGATTTTGTTGTGATAAAAGTATTAGTGAAATTTCACAAATTCTCTATTTCTGTTTCCGATCTACGTAATTTTACCAAGCACAACCTTAGACTAAACTTAACCCTGCCAATATGGGGTTTGCAAGCTGATGTGGCTAATGCCACATCAGTATTTTCCTTTTATTTATTTATTTATTTATTTAAAGGGGGTTGCAAATTAGCTTTTGTATTTTTTATTTATTTAATTTTTTTTTTGTTTTTTTTACATTTTTATATTTTAATATAATTAATTATATTATTTTAATCAATCGTTATGCTATGGATCCGTGTCCAGCATGCATGCTGGACACGGGTAACAGTGCCGTTAGGCACTGTTATCTCCATTTTTTTTTTTTTAAATTTCAGACCGCTTCGTTGTAGGAGTATATATTCATAATTTTATTACTATATGTTAATAACTGTACATTCATAACTCCATAACTGTACGTTCATAACTCTATAACTGTACATTCATAACTCCATAACTGTACATTCATAACTCCATAACTGTACATTCATAATTTTCGAAGCTCTATGTTCACAATTTTAGAGCTCTATGTTCATAATTTTATCACTATATGTTCATAATTGTAAGTTCATAATGTCAAAGCTCTTTGTTCATAATTCGATCAATAACTGTACATTTATAATTCCATAACTGTAGATTCATAATCTCATAATTGTAGATTCATAACTCCATAACTGTACATTCATAACTCCATAACTGTACATTCATAATCTTCGAAGCTCTATATTCACAATTTTAAAGCTCCATGGTCATAATTTTATCACTATATGTTCACAATTCATTGTGGACACGGGTCCAGGGCAGAATTTGCCTATTTTAATATATTGAGCCCACTTTTAAAAGTTGATTAGATTTGTAGGGATGTAATGTGAATAGTAGATGATTTGCAAATAAGGTGATGTAGAAGTAAGACTCATTTTTTAGAGTGGGAGAGATTTGCAGGGATAAACTTTAGAAAAGAATTAGATTTCAACCAAAGCTATAGAACAACGGAATTACAAAGAGTAACTACAAAATAAATTTACACAATGAATAAGATTTCTTCCAGAGGACTCAAAAATGTATAAAACAAACACTTTACGGGGTGTTTGGTTGGAAGGAAGGAATTAGGGTGGAAAGAAAAAAGAAAGGAACGAATGATGAAAGGTAAAATGGTCTTCACATACATTTTCTTCTCCCATCAAGACAACGAATTCCAATTCATAGTGGGGGAGGTATGAATTGGAATTCAGCATTTGGAGGGAATTGCAATTCGGTGGAATTACAATTCCCTCCAACCAAACGGCGTAATTGGACCTTTCACAGAATTGCAATTCAATTGCACCCAAATTACATCCAACCAAACACCCCCTCAGTTCATTTTCCCAGTGATGAGAAGTTCACTTTTTTTTTTTTTTTTTTTTTTTTTTTTTTTTTTTTTTTTTTTTTTTTTCAAATTCTTCTATGTAATCGTGAAAAAAAAATATTGAAAATTCATAAAATCCTCAAAATTAAAATTAATTCATATACATTCACAAAAGTTATAATATGAGCAAAATCAAAAAATAAAACCTTATTAGGATGGCGAGCCACCAAAAAAAAAAAAAAAAAAAAACGAACTGCCAATAACGGTGAGAGAATGCCAGCTTGTAATGGGGACGACTTACGGTGGAGTAGATCGGTGAGCGAATGGAGTGAGCGTGCGGCGAACGACGACGGAAGGCCGATGGAGACGTAGACGCAGACAACGAAGCTTGGAGGAAACGTGTGCGACGAAAAATAAGGATTTTCGAAATTAATTTGTTTTAAACATTTGCAATGAGTATAAATAATTAAGTTTAGATGAAATTTAGTGGCAGTTAACAAAACTGCTGCTAAAATAGAGAATTTGTTTTTTTTTTTTTTTTGAAATACTCATGGTTCGTTTTCAGGAAGTATATGTTCTATACCAATCGTTATATCCCGCACCACGGAACGCGTAGCACTGTGCCTCCCACGCCTCTCAAAACGACGTCGTTTTGATAAGTTATGTAGGGAGTTGACGTGATTATGTGTATTTGTTTATACAATTATGTATATTTTTATACAGTTATGTACATTTTTTATACAATCATGTACATCTTTTTTATACAATTATGTATATCTAAATGTTTATTATATTAAGAGTTGATGTTTATTATGTTAAAAGTTTATGTATATTATCTATTATGTTAGATTATATGTTGCTAAAAATCAAGTTTGTTGTAGTGTATCTTGATTGAAAAGTATAAAGATGAGATATGTAACTTTAATTTTTAATAGAAATTACAGCAAAAAATTACAAATAAAGTGTTAAAGAATTTAAACTCAAGAAAGAAATTTAGGAAGCTAATTAAGCTTTGTTAGATCTATTGAATTTCATATGACTCTTGACCAACTGTCCGGCAGCGATGGCAGACATGAGGGAGAGTTCACCGGCCAACACAGCTCCGGCAATGATTGCCGCTAATCGCCTGGAGTTGGCTCCCGGTGCAACCTTGCTAGCACCCTTCACTCCCAAGAGATTCAAGCATGCTGCCTGAGAAGCAAGCTGGGTCCCACCTCCCACCGTGCCTACCTCAATGGACGGCATGGTTACAGAGATGTGAAGGTCTTTCCCATCGTTAACGGCCTCCATCATGGTTATACAGTGCGAGCTTTCAATGTTTTGTGCGGGGTCTTGTCCTGTGGCGATATAGACGGCGGAGACAATGTTGGCGGCGTGGGCGTTGAAGCCCCCAAGAGCACCGGCCATGGCGGAGCCAGTGAGATTCTTGAGCATGTTTAGCTCTACTAAGGAGGTAACGTCTGTTTTTAGTACTTTCTTGACTATTTCTTCCTTTATTATGGCCTCGCAGACGACCGACTTTCCGCGGCCTTCGATCCAATTCACCGCCGCAGGTTTCTTGTCGGAGCAAAAGTTGCCGGAGATTCCGATGACGTCCATGTCAGGGAAGTCGGTGAGGAGAAAATCCAATACGTTTTGGACGCCCTTGGAGACCATGTTCATCCCCATGGCGTCTCCGGTGCTGCATGTGAATCTCATGTAGAGATTCTTTCCGGCAATAGCGCATTTGATGCTCTGAAGCCTAGCGAATCGGCTGGATTTGTTGAAAGCTCCGGCGATGGTCTCGAAACTTAGAGGATCCTCCAAGTAGAGCTTCAACTGAGCGGCTCTTTGGGCGGTGGAGAATCTCACCACCGGAGCTCGAGTCATCCCGTCCTTCAACAACACACTGGTGGCGCCACCGGAGGCATAGATGGCTTTGCAACCCCGGTTGGTGCTGGCTACCAAGCAACCCTCCGTGGTGGCCATGGGGACGGCGTACTCTTCACCGTCTAGCAAGAGCGGCCCCGCAATACCTACCGGAATCTGCACGTACCCAACTGGCATCTCGCAACACTGACCCAGAATCGATTCATAATCAAAATTCTCCAAGGGAAGTCCGTGTAGAGACTTGCCGGTTATTCTCTCCAGCGCCTCCCGGCGAATGGCTGCCGCCTTCTTGCAATCCCCTAGCTTAGATTCCAGGGAGTAGGACGGAACCCGACCTTCAACAACACCTTTTACTATCTCCTCTTCCTCTTCCGATAACATTATTATTGGATCAGATTTGACATCTGGGACTTTTTTCTTGACTATAATCTGTTTTCCTCCTTCTTCTTCTTTTTCTTCATTTTCCTGTTCTTGAAGAGGATGGGCGAAAAAGCCCAAGAGGTAAATCAAGGAAACCGCGAAAGCCAGAAGGGCGGTGATCTCAGAGCTTGAGACAACATGGAGAGGCTTGGAGTGACGGATCTTATCGCGCCAGCTAACAAGCAGGAAATACACTGCCGTGAAGAAAACAGCGTTTGTAAGGTAGAGAAGCAGTGGTGTGGCGTTGGGAGTTGGATTTTCAGAGAAAGAATCAAATTTGGTTGCTTTCTTATGTTTCGCCGGAGAAGTGGAAGTGGGCGCCGGAATTTCCATCTTTTTCAACTCCATAATGTTAGGTGTTGATTGCAACTTTATTTGTTAGATGTTGCTGAATATGTTAATTGGTTGCTCTTACCAGGACCTATTTATAGTAATAGCTAAATGAATTAAAAATTCCATTTCTGTAGTTTCTGGGAAATGATAAGAGAGCAGCTGAGAGAGAGTGAGACAGTAGAAGTTGGAATGTATAGGTGACGGCTGGTTATATGTTCTACAATGGTGGGCTAGCGTGCTTGACTGCAGCCATTATGTTTATCTATTAGGACGCCATAGTGTTAAATACAGGCATTTTATAGATTCGAAAGTCACTAGTCAAAGTGGTAGGCTAGTAGTGTTGCTAACTTGCAACGACTAGTCGTTGTTGTTCCTTTCTAGCTATTAGTTTGGCTCAATTTTTTATTTTGTATTCTGAAAATTTTCTCTGCTTTTTTAATGATATAAGAAAATATGAAAAATAATTCAATAATTTGAAAAAAACCCACGAGGCGTCTTGAGAAAAATAAAAAAAAACATTTGATAGAAGAGATTAAGGTTTGAATCTCGATAGCGCATTTAGCCATGTCTGTTATTTGTTAAGTTATTGAGTCACTGATTATATTCGGTCGGTGACAACATTGGATCATTTATATATACATTCAAGTGAAAACAATTTTATTTTTCCTTGGAAGATGAAATAATCCCAATTTTGAAAAACAAAATGCATTCACGTTTTTATAATTATTACATATGAAATTTGGATGTGCGCTGGAACATGTTTAATTGTGCATCAACAAATAACAGAGAATGTATTCAAGATGTATTAGTAGTGCACTCAAACTTGTTGCACACTATAACATATTAGTGCACCTAACAATACACCAAATCCTCTAAAAAAAACAGTACACCAAATAAGCTTGAGTGAACTAATGGTACATTTTGAATGCACTATTAGTTATCCACTAAATGTATAATAATCAAGTTTTATCTCGGTACACAATTAAAAAAAAAAAAAAAACATTGCTCTCATTTGATCGATCCTACACACATACAGATAGTGGCTAACAATACTATTTGTATAAGAATTTATTATGGCTCTGTTTGGTAAATAGTTGTTAGCTGTTAGCTGATTGAGTTAATTAGGAGGTATATGTCCTATTTGGTAAAATAGTTAGTCTATAGATCAATTTTGGCTTATTTGACCACTATTAGTTGTTAAACTTAGTTTAAAAATCAATATAAGTGTTTGGTTAATTAGCTTTTTGTACTCCAAAATGCTAAAATTCAAAAAACTACTGAAATCAACTTTTTTTAATTAGCTTTTTGAGAAAAGAAATTATACCAAACAGCTATCAGCTAATTTACCAAACACATTTCTACAATCAGCTAATGTTATCAACTAGTTATACCTCTAATTGACCCAATCAGCTAACAATCATTTACCAAACAGGGCCATAATTAGTTGATAACATTAGCTGATTGTATAAAGGTGTTTGGTAAATTAGATGTTAGTTGATAGCTATTTGGTATAATTTCTTTTCTCAAAAAGTTAATTAAAAAAGTTGTTTTGAGTAGTTTTTTGAATTTTAGTATTTTAGAGTTACAAAAAGCTAATTAACCAAACACTTATATTGATTTTTTAACAAAGTCAAACAATTAATAGTAGTCAAATAAATTAAAATTGACCAATAGGCTAACATTTTACCAAACTGGTACGATAGTTCTTTAAAACACATTTTCTTTGGCTAATAGTAAAACTTACATGACACTTTTATTTAGATCAGATATTCAAAATTGATATTAATATTAATATTAATTTAAAATTTAAAAAGAAATAAACAATCATGCATTTTATTAGTCAAGACCTTGTGGTCTAATGACACTTGAATTGCACTCTCATATGGAAGGGAGTGAGTTTGAGTCTTAGTGGAAGTGACATTGATTTTTTGTGCTTCAGTTGATGATTTTATAAGTTTAAACTTTTTGATGTTATCTAATTAAATAAATTAGATAATATCAATATTATCCAAAATATATACTATATTTCAATATTATTTTTTTCAAAATTTGAGTGTCAACGTACATCTATTAGTTAACAATAATTTGACTAATTTTATTATGACTTAATCAAATAAAAATATGTCAAATGACAAAAGATTTAATATGTGTGTGGGTGTGTGTATAACTTTTTTTTTTTTTTTTTTTTTTTTTTTTTTTTTTTTTTTTTTTTACGTATGGCGTTTCCATAAAATTAGCGCCATTATATTAACTAATTAAAAAAAAAGGAATAAGGGTCAAATAGGTCACTGAACTACACACGAAACTACAATTAGGCCATTGAATTCTAAAAAGCTACAATTAGATCCCTGAACAATACAAAATCAAGCAATTGAACCCAAAGTACTTGTTTACCTATTTAGTTGATGACATGGCGGTTACTAAATACAAAAAATAATAATGTTTTTAATTTTATTCTAATAAAATAAAATAACCACCCCCAAACCCCGTCTTCACCGGAGACGAAGAACGTGTCTTCGTCTCCAACCTGGAGACGAAAACGTGTCTTCGGATCTCGAAAGGGTGAGCTGGTTTAAGATTCTTCTTTCCGTCAAGAATGGAGGTCAGGCTTATACTCATCCCTCCGACGCCACTGTTTTCCGATCCCGACACAGTCCTCCCTCAAAAACTCATTGAAGATCCTTGGAAACCCCGAGAACTACGAAATGGGCTTCGTTGGGCTTTGGGTCGGAGAATACGGTACAAATGTCTACTACCGCCATACCCCTAAAACCCAATCAGACGACCTTAATTAACACCCAAAAATTCCCAGGTTTTGTAACAAACACACACACACACACACAAAAACCTTTATTTATCAGAAATGGAGCCTCCATGAACGAGCAAGAAAAACAAAAAAAAAAAAAAAAAAAAAAAGGAAGAAGAATATGACGATAAAAAAGCTTGCTTTTATCAGTCAAAAATCCCTGCCAATAGTCCAATACAGTACTAAATTTTGGTAGCTTCCATTCCCAAACACCTGTACGTAGCTCTTCATCAAATCATCTAGAAAATTACATAGAGAAAAAAATAGATTGATAGAGAGAGAGAGAAACCCATAAAGAAAGAAAGAGAAAATGTAAAAATGTAAAATGTAAAATGGAAATGAAGTGAGAGAGCCAAAGAGGTCTCCTCATCGTCTCCGGCCCTGAGACGAAGACACATTCTTCCTCTCTGGCGCAGACGAGGGAGGGGGGTTTGGGGGGTGAGTTTTTCTTTTTAATTTAATTTAATTTATTTTATTTCAAATTATTAAAATTAATTTTAAGAATTTTTTTAATCTAGTAACCGCCACGTCAGCGGATACCTAGTCAACAGGTTACTTTAGACTCAATTGCATGTTTTTGTACTGTTCAGGGACCTGATTGTAGCTTTTTTGAGTTCGATGGCTCAATTGTAATTTCGTGTGTAGTTTAGTGGCCTATTTGACCCTTATTCCAAAAAAAAAAACATGATTGTTCAATGAAAGTCACTCCTACTTGACTACTTGTTATGGGCGCATGCACTCAAGATGTGCATTATTAACTATTTTTTTAAACATTATTGTTCAACGAACTCACTCGTACTTGTTATGGGCGCATGGCACTCGAGATGTGCGTTCAAAACATGCAGCCTCAAATGTTTGACGGTGTGTATATATAATATTAACAAGTGTTATTAATTGATAAATAGATATGATATTATAAATGTAACGCTAAAATATCACAATAAAAATGATCACTATAAGAAATTTCACATTTAGTGACAACTAAAGTTGTCACCGAAACTATCAATTTTGGTCACTATTGAAATTAGTGACCATTTTTTGAAGTCGTCACCTGTCGTCACTATATTCTCCGTCACTATTGTAGTTGTGACGACTTTTGAAAAGTTGTCACAATTACTCACTACTTTTGTGACAACATTTACTTACACTAAAAGTAGTATTTGAGTGATAACGATAGTTGTCACAATAAATGTATAATTTGTGACCAAATATGTTATTACAAAAGATTGTTCTAATGACAACTAAAATTGTGGCAATTAATTATTTTATTGTGACAACCCTTTAGTCACAATAATTGTACTTATTTGTGAGAATTGCTGTTGACTAAAAAATGGTTATCAGTGACCTAAAAATTGGTAACAGATAGTCACTTTATTGTAACAATAATCATGGTAACAAATATTGTATTTATTTGTGACAAAAAAAAAAAAAAGTTAACTCAGAAACAGTCATTAATATTAAATAAAGCTGTAACAATTCAATTCTTATATCCATCATCTTCATCTCTAATATCTTTAAAAATCTTTAAAAATTGTTGTAGTATATTTGTCACTAAAATACTGAAAATTAGTGACAAAATTTTGTAACTTCTTTAAATTTTGCGACTTCGATCTTCTTCTAAATTCTTGTCACGTTTCTTTGAAGTTTCTATTTTTGCTTGAAGATGAATCTTCTCTTGGGTCTTTGAAGTTATCCCTTGAAGTCTTTGAAGATGAATCTTCTCCATCTTCTTGAAGTTTATTCTGCAATTATAAGATAGATATTAATCCTATTAATAATTGAGTAAATTAATTTAAGAATGTCACAACATTTATATGATTATAATTTCATACCATGATTTCCTCTCTATTTGAAATGGACCTAATTCCATTAATTTTTTTTTCTTTTTTTTTTTTTTTTGGTGAAAATTAGATTTTTTTTTTCTTGATACCTTCCAAACTTCAAGGCATCTGGTCATACATTAGAATCTTTGTCTTTCTGTAGAATGGAGAATAAAGACAACAAAAAGTAATAATCAATTGAAAATTTTGTGGATAAAGCAACATGAAATTAATTTTTAGTAAAAAAAATTTTACTTTACCATCTCATATGCAATTTGTACAAAAGACTTTGTGTCACAAATTGATTTAATCTATTTATTTCCTCTATTATTTTTATTTTTTTTCGCTTTGGTCTTATATATAAATTAAACAAAAAAGTTATTATTAATAAGAAATAAGCTAGAAGAGAATTAAGGGACATAAAAAGACACAAATTAGGATAACAAGATGTGTCA